CAAATTATAAATGTTTATTGACATTGAATTACACAATTCATTTACTTCTTACGTTCTAAAAAAACTTTATTGCATAGATAATAAACTTTAATTATTTTAGCATTAATACAAATATAGTATGCACTATATATATAAATTAGCAATATAATATTATTCTAAAAACAATAATATCATACATACTATTGTAATATTAAAAGAACTCCTTGTGACTTATGAACACACTCCATTAGACAAAAATTGTAATTCAAAAATCAATTCTTTATTTCTATAAGACTCATGTAGTTAAACAATGTTCAAGTTATTTTAAAAGTATTGGTGAATGTGTACCTTATAAACTCTTTATATTTAAATAAAATGTTATATATCCTTTTTTTTATTTTTGTATTATTTTCCATTGGTTTGTCATTTCTTATGTTTTAATGTATCAATACTTTTTTCTAGAGCACTCCAATTATAAAATTAAAGTTATTTTGTCATTGTCTAAACTTAGAATGTAATATATAGATTTAAATGTCGTCATGTATGTATTAATGAATTTTTTTTGAATAAAAATAGCCGCATAGCTTTACACTAGTGAAAAATTTTGCCCCGCCAGATCAGCGAAAAAATTCGCCCCGTTACACTAGCAAAAAAAAATCGTCCTGCTACACTAGTGATTGTTTTATCTCCTCCACTAACAAAAACATTCGCCCCTTGACTTGAAATCATGGATCCGTCCCTGTATATAATACTTGTATACTCCGTAATAATTATTAGTGACGTAATAACTGACATTCTGGCAATGACATCACAAATGTTGAAATTATTAACTTATTAACCACATGTTAATCCATGAGTAAACGCAGTCACTTTTCTAGATTGAGCTCCCCATGCTTAAAAAAAGATGATATAATACTGGTGTAATAATTGTTCTAATAAACAATATTATAGAGGTGCTCAATAAGTACATTCAAGTAATTTTGTCAACGTGATTTTACCGATTGTTTTCCCTTTTAAATTATTCTACATAATAATTAGCCTAACAAAATTAAGATGAAACACTTTTTCTCAAACTCAAACATATTTGACATTTAAAGATCAAAACTACAAAGTGCAGGTTTCCACTTTTCAGAATGCATCCGTGCAAAACTGCGGACACTTTATGGAGCAAACATAGCTCATGGGTGGAAGAAGAACTAGTGGTGAACTCGGTTCGGGTCACCCGGCCCGTGATCCAGCCCGGCCCACTACTGTGCGGGCTCAGAACTGGCCCGGTCTGGCGGTCCGGGACCGGGTGTAGACCTGAACCGGGGGGCAGCCGGGGGCGGGCTCGGTTCTGGCAAAACGTGACCCGGTCGGGCCCGGATCCGGGTCACAACGGTTATATTTAACAAAAAATTGTTTTTGGGCCAAAAGAGCCGTTAGGCCAACGGTTGGGACGACCCAAACGGCTATATAGCCGTTGGGTGGGTTGGCAGGGGGGGTCAGGGCAGTTTGGAGGGTGGGGGGAGGGTGGGGTGGGGGTGGGGGCTCAAGCCTCAAAGGCCCAAACGGCTATATAGCCGCTGGTGGGTGGGGGAGGTGGGGTGAGGGTACAAAAATTTCTATAAATACCCCTATTTCCTAACATTTTTATAAACAGCTTCTCCAATATCCAATCTCCAATCTTCATTCTCAATCTTCATCTCCATCGATTCTAGACTTTCTAGTATTTATAGAATTATTATATCTACCATTTTTAAGATAGAAAGTCAATATGCCGTTATCGCTTATAATTTTTATACACAGAAGGACCCGAGGACCGGGATGTGGTACCGTACTTGCAACTTGCAAATGGTGCGCGAAAAAGTGTAGCTTGGGGCTTTCACATGGACACGGAATGACCAGGAAGCATATTAAATCATGTGACAAAGCCAAAGGACCGGAAAATTCCGATTGATTACAAAATGTATTTCGTATTGTATTTTTTTTCTCAATTGTCAAATGTAGTTCCTATTTCATTTCAAATAAATGCACTTAAAGTTTGTTTTTAATACTTTTATAAAACTATAAAGTATAAATAAGTAAAAAAAAATTGGATTTACCCGGCCCGACCCGGCCCAGCGGGTAGTCCGACCCGTGACCCGGGCGGGTGGCCCACCCCGAACCGGAACTATCCTTACCGCGGGCCGGTCCCGGGCCCATCACTTACAAACCGGAGGCCCGGGCCCGAACCGGCCCGAGTCCATGACTAAGAAGAACAAAAGCATATAATCTGAAGAAAAAAAAATAATTAACTCAAACATTACTACCATTGCCACTACCATTACCACAACTTTAATAACTAAAGACATATTCAAGGCATTCATATCACAAAGCTGAGGGTATGCCCATCTCACCAAGGACTGCTCCCCACCACCTAGACTCCTAATAAGGGCGTCACATACAAGAACACCAATGAAACAGATGACAATGCATGTGGTTACATTACAAATTGTGTGTTCAAGGAAGTGTTTAAATCGGTTTCTTAAAACTGCTTCTAGGAGCAGTTTTTGAGAAGTTAGCGATTATCAACTTTTGAAAAATTGATTTTGATTCTACTTTATTTTTAAAAAAGAAATAGAAGTAGAATCACCCATAAATTGAAAGCTCCTATTTGTTTCACACTCAAAATAAAGAAGCAATGTTATGGATTTTACCTGTCACATGGCAATCTGCCCGTTAAAAACTATAGCATTACAACTCCAAAACTGTACACGTCACGCTCTAAGGTATAAATCCCTGACTCAAATTCAGGGGCACTATACCCATAGTTTGTAAGAAGTTGTCCTGATAACTGCTCTCGATACAAGAAACCCGTGATAATATTTAGATATGAATAAGTTCTTAAGCATCTCTGAAAAAGAAAAAAAAAAGTGATGAATATACCGTTCTCAATGCTTATTTGAATTACGTGACTGACATCCCCTGATGACATCACTGGTGCCAATCCAATCCGCACGGGTAGCTCAGTTGGTCGAGTGGTGGGAAATTTGGAACAATGGATCAAGGTTCGAATCCCCGCAGTGACCGGGTGGAGGTCACAGAAGCTGAAATAAGGTTGGACCTCTGGTGCGTACGGGTGTATGGGCCTACTGTCATTCTGCTGACTGAGTCACCGTGACTAACCTCCCCACCATCCTGTCGGGTCGAGGTGGGGGACTCCTGGGGTGGGAAATTCCACCTAACAATGGAGCCAACCCACAATCAGAGATTTGAACAACAAGATCACTATCATCATTATGATCAAGGAGAATATTTGAAGACTTGAAGTTTCTATGAACAACTGGTGGGTCACATGTCTCATGCAGGTAGCTTCAATAATTAAGGTTGTACTATTTTAATTAAATTAAGACGATTAATCATACATTTAACATTGAGATTAAATAAGAATTCAAAGTGGCTTTTTTCATTTCACATAATTGTTATTGACCTCAATTTAGAAATGATATATTCTTTTTAAGGAATGAAGTTAAACTATTAAAGGATCTAACCAAGGTAGTCAAAGTCACGAGGCGCACTTAAGGCGCTAGAGTACTTGTATCGCCTGAGACGCAAGGCGCAAAAAAGCGCTCGCCTGACAAGGGTCAAGCGCACTATTTAGACAATATAATGTATACTATTCTAGATTGATCATATATGACATATTCAACATCATATTGAACTAAATGCATCAAAAAGTCATGTTTCTAAAAAATAAAGTCATGATTCACCAAAATAAAGTCATGGTTTACAAAATCAAAACACCAAGTGGGGTCTGTCTTTGTTTTTTTTTCAATTTTACTACTAGAAGAACACATATTATAGTGTATGAAACTATTAACTGGGTTAGATTATATGAAGTTTTTACACCGTTAAAGTATGAGATGATAATAGAAAGATATAGAGTTATAGACTGTGTAATAGGATGAAATAATATAGAGTACATATAATGTAAACTAGTAGTCAAGTACATATAATATGTTTGAGTTGTATAGAATATATTAGAAGCAAAAAGAACTATAAATTATGCAAAGATGACTGGAACTGATAAAAGTAAAGAAAGAAGGTAGACTGAAAGAACAAAATGAAAGTACCACGAAGAAGATGACAAGATTAATGAAAAATACAAGCTGAAAAAGAAGAAAGAACATTGGAAGATGAAGAAGAAGACACCTTATGGGTTTCTGGCTTCTGTGGCTTCGTTGAATGTGTTTTAGCTCTGAGCATGTTGCGCAAGACTTTTCTCACGACTAAGGGTTTAATATTGATTTAAGTTGCTTTTACCTATTATTTGGAAGGGCTAAATCTTATTATTAGAATGGGCTTATTATTTAAAATAGGATCAAACAAAAAAATAGACCGATAAACCTTGCCCAGCCCAGGCAACTTAAGCATGCGCTTTTCAAGCTTCGGCGCTTCTACGCTTTATGTGCCTAAGATGCGCCTGAGACAGGAGGGTGCGCCTGGTCATCTTTCAAGCGCTGGATCTCTATTGCGCTGCACCTGGTGCGCTTAAGCGCTGAGGCGCTCGACTTTGACTACCTTGGATCTAACAATCTAAAAAACGGTCAAATTCCCTATTTCATTTATTAGTTTAACTAACTAAATGCTCCATCTACTGACTAGTCTCATTCTTCTTTCTTCACTCATTTTTCAAAAATATATATGTTTGTGCTTTCAAATTTGGGTATTAAATATTTGTGTTTAATGAAAATATTTATGTAAAAATAAGTGTATTAAACAATTCTTATTGCAATGCACAAGTGCATAAGATAGCCAACCTTTTTAAGTGCATGCTTTATAAGGTATTGGTCAAACACTAAAGTTTTTATTTAGCGCGCTGGTTCGCTAAATTGTGTAGTAGGTAAGATTGAACTTAGTTTTCTAGCTAAATTTGATGAAAGGACTTTTTAGCTTTTTTCATATAATTTTTATTGATTTTATAAATGAAATATGTTTTAAATATAATTTTTCATAGTTTAGCGGATTCAACCATTTCAACTACAACTTCACCAATTTCAGCAAATTTTAATGGTTCCAAAACTAGCTCTAAATATTTTACAAGTTCCAAAAATAGCAAATTTTTCACCTATAAGTTTGTTATTTAGGATGAAACCTTAGTTTTAATAGATCAAATGATATGTTCTAAAATTCGCATTACCTTTTTGCATTACATCGTGTCTGCTTTTCCTTTCCCAAAGGTGCTTCGGCAAACAAAGCAAGGCAGCTAAAACCAATACTATACATGATATTATAGTCACAATTGAAATCCAAACTATCCTTTTAGTGGATCCTGAGTTCTTGTTTTCTTTGACATTGGACCTTCAGCTGGTGATTGTCCGTAAATCTGTACTCCCGGCCCGCTTGGAGTGTTTGGTAGGGTTGGTGCAGACATGGGAGCCACAATAAAGTGTGGTGCTGCAGAAGGTGGTTTGGAGGGCGTTGGTGGAGATGCAGAAGGTGGTATGGAGGGTGTTGGTGGAGGGGATGGAGCAATACTACCGTTGAGGGGCTTCCCATCTTTCCTGTAATTTTACTTTTTAATATCATTATCATATTATTGGAGAATAAATGAAGATGAAAATTTATATAGTTATACATTAATTAATTAAACATTTTTTAGTTTGAGACTCATATGTGAAAATTTAATTAATTCTCCCCTACCCGTTCCTCGAAAATTCCCCAATTAAACAACCCTCAGAATGTAGGTGATTGAGAAGTCTCATCGCACATTTTCTCAAGCAAGCTATATACTAAATTTAAGTTCTCAGACTTCATTGTACTACTTTTTTTGTAAGGAAACTCTTACTTCCTTCATCCCATTTTGTAAGATACACTTTCCTTTTTAAATTGTTCCAAAAATCGAGCACTTTAATGAATCAAACTCTAGTGACTTTTTTATTTCCCACTTTATTCCTTTACCTCACATTTCACTCTTTAGTTTTGAATGAACCTGATTTTACTTTTTCTTATTTTTTGAAGGTTAGAATTGTAAAATTATCACCTTATCTTTTATTTTCTTTAAACTAGAGCCAAATCTACATTCATCGCGCATAAGTTTTCATATTTCATCGTACTAAGTTATAAGAGTTGTAAGCCACGAGTAATACTTAAACTTTATGTTTTATTTTTTTGTTAAAATTAACATAAATAATCCCAACTATTAGGTGTCTTCTAATATTAATCCTAAATATACGTAATTCTGAAATAATCTCAAATTTATCAGAGGTCTTCCTATATTGATCCAGGTTACCTGTAACCTGTTAAACAGGTAAAAAAAGAAAATTAAAAAAAGCTGAACAACGGCGCTTCCTCGTCGTCTCTCACAGTGCTTCATGGCTGTTGGACTTTCTTTACTCCCAATGCTTTCTTCGTCTCTCTTTTTCTCCCTCCATCTCCTATGGAAATATCCTTCCTTTCTTTCGTTCTGAATCTGCACCTCAAATTCACATTTCATGCTTTCGATTTCAGATTTTGAAGGTTTAATTTGGTCAATCTGAAATTGTTTGATTGGGAGATAGACGAATGAAACGTTGGAGACCAGACCAGCCGGGAAGAACGGGTGGATGCTATGGAGAACATTTGGGATGGACAGGGGACGGCGTCGAAGAACAACAGAGGTTGACGAAGCATCGACGATAAAGACGGGCATACGGACAAGCGGACAGCCGTCCACAAAGAGCCACTGCAACAAACGGCCGGTCATCAAAGATCTACAGCTGGTGGCCGGTCTTAATGGCGACAGTTGAACAAGGACTGGCCGGCGTTTCGCCTGAAACGCTAGTGTGCCCGCCCAAACCTCAGTGCGAAGAAAGATGAAGGAGAGAAATGAAAAGGGAAAAATAGAATAAAATGTTAACCAATAAATATAAAACACGTGTCCGGGTGACCTGCTGAACTGATTTATTCAGGTCATCGGTTTATTTTGAGAAGATACCCACAGTAATTCGGATTATATTGGAATTACTAATAATTGAGATTAATAAGAGAAAACCGTTGATAGTTGAGATTATTTATGTGAATTTTTCCTTTATTTTTTGTTAAATACATTTATCATTTTTAATGTTTTCGGATATAATCATTGTAGATTAAAAGAAAAACTAACTTTGCTTGTTGAAAGAAATCTTTCTTTTTTCACTTTTCTTGGGCAGGGACAAGTTGTTTTTGGAGCAGAACTCTAATTCAATTGTGTTTATTTAGGAACTTACATGAAATTTGGAATGGGCAAGAGCTTCTGAGGTATGGGACCAGAAAACTGGTTGTTTTCTATATTTCTGAAAGGAGACAAGTATTAGAAGAAAAGTAATTCACTTTTAACATGCAATTAGTATGACCTATTAAGAGAGATGTAGTTCGGCGAAGTACAATTGTAAGTGGAAGATCTTGTATAACATCCAGGGTTCCAGAAAGCTGATTATTCTGCAAATGACTGGTGATCAAACTGTAAGCTTTACAGGCCGAAACTAAAAGAAACATCAAACTGAAATTATATATACAATCATAGAATTCATAATTCTAATTATCCGAATCATAATTGGTTAGAGGTCGCTAATCTGAGCCGTAGTGCTAAACATTGAGTCTATAGGTTCTACCCCAAATCATGGGTAGTCAAACAAACATATAAAACCAAAAACAAGTCAAACTCTGATACATGATGAGCGATCCAAGATCTTATGTGTTGATTTACTATTTGGATAAAAACCTTAACACTAAAAGATCGGATCTAATTGATCAGCTATACTAAAAAAGTAGATGTTAATCAGATATGTAGTATTTATTTCCATGTGAGACTCTTCACAGGATATAGCAAACTAATTCAATAGAACTGTATTTTTCATCACACACACAAAAATCTGAAAACAATTGTTCAGTTAAAACTTTGATGCAGAACCCCCAATGTAATATAGGTATATAGCTAGAAGAAAACCAGAATACAAACAATAGCAGCACGGGAAAATTTTGATATAAACCATGTCGATGTGAAATCAAATCCATGCTCAATTGAAAAGTAAGTATAAATTTATGAACCGGATCATGCTCAACTGGTTAAACCTAGTGAAAATTTTGGTTTTAACCATGTATCCTTAATTAGTCACATTAGCTTGCTGCAATTAAATTGAAAAGTAAAGTGTGAACATATGGAGTACCTTGCAATCTGCCACTTGAAAGTGAGCCAACTAGATACAGTCCAAACCAATATTCTAAAGCAACACCTTGGAACCTGCCACTTGAAATTGACCAAATTAGATGCAGTCCAAACCAAAAAAATGAAAGCACAAAGCAAAAAGATTAATATAAAGGCCCAAAGCAATACCCAATACCCAAGGTTATATTTACCATCCTAATGTCTCTCATGTTGTACAATTAATATAAAAAGATTAACTTGAAAACGAAGTATAAATATAACAACCATATTAAAAGATGTAATTAAACTCTAAATCCATATTTAAAACCATTTTTCAAGCAGAATTGGAGTCAGATTTTGATTCCCATTCGATTTTTCTTAATTGATCTTTCTTCTTAATTGGACTCCAAATCCATATTTAAAACCATTTTCATGCATATAAGAACAAAAGCATATTTTTTAGAAATTTAGATAACAATTAACTTATATTGGTCTCTCCTTGAAGTAAAAGATTTAAGTCATTAATCAACAATGACTAAATTTGAAATTTCATTAGAAAATTGATGTTCCAATTCCAAATTTAGATATAAAACATGTCACTAAATGTCATTCAAATCCGAAATTGTTCAACTATCATTGTTTTTTATTCAAATTCATGCTCAATTGGTCAGATTTTCATGCGTTTTCAATGCTTCTTTGTAAGAATCCAGGATAGCAAACTGATTCAATAGAAGTATATAGGACTATATTTTTCATCACACACATAAAAATCTGAAAACAATTGTTAACAGTTCAGCAGATAACAACACAAATTGCACAATGTAGTTCATCACCTCGGATTTTTTGTCACATAAGAAGTCCAAATGTATAGCCTTCGGTCCTTGGCTCCACACAATCCAATCCCTTTCCCTTCTTCGGCTAATGAATTTGACTTGGACAGAGCCTCTACACTGCCCAAAGCAAGGAGGGTACACGCTCATACTCTTATCACAAACTCCATATTTTTCAATTTTCCCCTTCTCAACCCATGATGCATCTCTATCTGCTCCTCCCCAACTTGCAATCTCCAGTCCCAGAAGGATAGCATCATAATCCCTCACAAATCCCAAATCAAGCTGAATAGTCTCTTGGTGACAGTGATGTATACTAAATGAAGAGTCCCTTAGATGCTTTCTTTGACATTACTCTTATCCTTGACTTCAAAGTTCGAACATTGCAAGCTTCAATGAATTTATTTTCTTCACATAATATGCACAACAACCTGTTAAGACTTCCTCTACAAGGGGTATATTCACATGAAACCATATCTTCAAGTACTTTCAGAGCATGGACCGTCCATCTATTTGCACAAAAAACTTGGAGTAGATTTTCATAGGAAGCCTTTGAAAGAGAATGCCCTTTCTTAAGCATAATATTTGATACAGATAATGCATCACGGGGTCTTCCAGCCTTACAAAATCCCTTTATCAACATGTTGTATACCACACCATCAAGAACATAGTCATGCTCATTCATTTTATTGAAAAGATTAACAGCAAGATCGGTTTTACCTTTTCGAAAATGCCCATCAATGAGAATGGTAAGAGTCACATGATTGGGAAGCAGCCCTTGTTTCTGCATCGCATCAAGATGATTGTATGCACCTTCCATATCATTTGCCCAACATAATCCAGCAATCACACTATTGTGCAAATATAAGTTGGGAATAAAGTAGCCTTTTTTCACTTCACCTATCAATTTTAGTGCAAACGCTTTTATTCCAACCCTTGAAATGATAAAGTTTTCTAAATCTTTCTGGCCGGGCAAATTAGTATACTCACATAGTAAATGGTAAAGCATCTCCATTGCCTTAATGGATGATCTTTGTGACTTGTGACATTTCCTACTAATGTATTGGATATTTCTGCAAACGCCATTGACCAATGCAACATGAGTTACCACATCTTTCTTTATGTGGCTTTTCTCCATCAGAACAACTAACTTAAGAGCAAATCTAATTTCTCCCTTTCTAAAAAATTGGTAGATTAGAGAAGTATACAAAGCAGCATTAGGCATAAATCCATCTTCTAACATTCTGCCAAGATATATGTGCCCCTCTTGTATCATGTTTTGCTTAACAAGCCCATTTATTAGTGCAGTGTATGCTCGATGGCTTGGTCGAATACCATACTTGAACATTTTGTCAAAGAGCTCACGAGCTGCACCTGCTTGTCTGTTCTTTGATAGACCGCTAATCATTGTCACATACACAGTTTCATCAGGGAAAAGTCCAACCTCATGCATCCTGTCAAACAACTTTGATGCCTCCAACACTCTCTTTTCTCGAGCCAAACACCTTATAATATAGTCATACAAAGCAACAGTGGGCTTCACTCTAGTAGCTTCCATCTGATCCAGAATGGAAATAGCATCATTTCCTAGTCCCATTTGGCAGAGACACCAAATCATGGAGTTATATGCTAGGAGAGAAGGCTGAAGTGATAGAGTTGACATTTTATCCATGCATAACTCAGCAGCATCAAGTTTCCCTGCATAACACATTGCAATTATGTGTATATTAAAAGCAATACGAGCTAAGCCTAAGTTACGTGAATAAATTTCTTCTAGGAGAAGATCAATCTCAAGTATGACGTCATCAACAGATTTACTACTGCTACTACTATAAGTGGTGCTACAAATGCCACACCCATGTCTTCCGATTTCTGACACAAAACTATGTGCAAGATCAATTTCATGCCCTACACAGTTTTTTACTACAGCAAAAAAGAGGACATCATCAGGAAAAAGTCCAAAATCAAACAGCTGGTTATAATATTGATCAGCTTCAGCTAACCGATTTTCCTTAACAAGTGCAGCAAGTAAAGGCGTGTAACAGTGCACCGTGGGTGCTAAGTTGCACTGCATCATATTATGTAACAATGTCACTGCACAATCAACTTTAAGATCCTTGCAACACTTGTTAATCATGATTTGGTAACTGACAACGTTGAGGTTCAATCCCAACTCTTTCATCTGGTGAAAGAGCACGAAAATTTTATCAATCATGCCTGTGTTAACAAAACCATGTATCAATGTATTGCATGTGTAGTTATCTGGATGACATCCTAGTTTCAGCATTCTGTAAAACAATCTGAGAGCCATCTTCATTCTTCCTTTCCGGCAATACCCATTGATAAGAGCTGTGTACATGACTTTATCAATAAAGAAGCCAAAAGATTCGGTTTCCATACTCATAAATTCAGCCTCCTCAATCCGCTCATTCCGGCAAAGCATAAAAACTAATGTTTTGAGTAAATGAATAGTGGGAGGCACACTTTTATCACACATTATGTCATACACGTATAGTGCGTTGTTTAAGTTCCCTATTGAGCTCAACCCGTCGACCAACCTATTGTAGCAGCGGTAATGCAGTAAAAATTTAGCATCATGGACAGCTAGAAACACATCAAATCCCTCCAAGAATCTGTTTTGGTCACAAAATGCAGTAATAATGTCACTGCAGGCGGCTCGACAAGGCATGACTTCCATCTTAAGAAGTCTATCGAATTGAGACTTGGATTCTTCCAACTTACCTAACTTAGAGTAGCAAACAACCATCGAGTTCAATAAAAAATGGTCTGGCTCGATTCCTCTGTTCAATATGAAGTCGACATAAACAGCCTCTGCCATCTTTGCCTCCCCACAAGTCAATAGTTTTCTGATAAGAAAACCATAACTCTTCCTGTCAAGCTCCACTCCCCTGGAAAGGGCAAAATCAACTGCAGAAACGGCTTCATGGACTGATGATGAATGTCTCACAATATTCTGAACGAGCTTCTCTGCTAGACTTATTAATCCGTGTCTAATTAGCTGCTCTAATTCTGAAAAGCATGTGGCTTTTATTTCATGTGGGAATGCTTGAGTAGTAGCAGCAGATATGGGCGGGTGTTCTATGGGTAAAGGGGAAGTGGAGAAGGGTACTTTGCGGGAAAAGAACAGCAGGGGCCGGGGCTGGAGTGACCAGTGAGGCAAAGACCTGTACTTGACCATCCTCAGGAGCCTTGCTGAAATTACTAAAAGACCTGTAAAAGACTGGGATGTCATTCAAGTATTTTATAAAAAAACTTGTTTTCATGTAGCACACACTAGTAGCAAAGTGTTAATCGGTGCAAAGATATACCATGGTAAAATAGAATCGAAATATCTTAAACATCAAATTAAAAATATAGTATTACAAGTTTCATAATATCATCAAATAGAAATAAATCATAACTTTGAAGGATTCATCTGTAATATCCCTATATAAAATTGTCACAATTGATACACAAACACATACAAACATGTTTGAGACAGCACCTGCTTTCTCAAGTGGAGTAGTCAAGAATTCATATAAGCTATATATCAAGGCCTGTTGCAGCATGCAATATGCCCTTCATTTTCATTAAAATGGTATAGAACATAAATAAAGATGATAATAAACATAAATTGCTGATAAATTGTGATAAAATACAAGTTACTAATGAATATAATAGTTAAAACTTAAAAGACTAATATGTATTTGTAGAAAAATGTAGCATATTCATGTTATTTTATTATGTGTACATCCGGGACTGTATAGATAGGAAGTAGAGTTGATTTAGGACTCTAACTCTTAGATTAACACGCAGTGTAGATAAGAATAGATAGATCCTAAATATTAGGATCTGTAACAAACCTTAGCTTATCTGTAATTTTGTATTTATATCATTGCCGGATGGCTCAATAATATATGGAAGATTAATTCTTCAAACCTACATGGTATTCGGTTTAAACAATGGTAGAAACCAGTGAAGCTGATTCCTCACACACTACCAACCCTAACTCCCAAACTAGCTCTATGACAAATTACCAGTCTCCTATTCATTCATCTATGATAATCACTAGTCATAGATTGAATGGAACAAACTATCTGGAGTGGTCTCAATCTGTCAGACTTGCAATTGATGGGAGGGGAAAGCTGGGTTACATCACAGGAGAAATCCAACCAAAAATACAAGCAGAAGAAGGGTACAGTACATGGAGGTCAGAGAATTCACTCATAACAGCTTGGCTTCTCAACTCCATGGAGCCCCTAATTGCCAAACCTCATATGTTTATGAAAACTGCAAAGGAGGTATGGGATTCTATTAAGGAAACTTATTCAGACCTTGAGAACTCTTCTCAAATTTTTGAACTCAAAACCAAATTGTGGCAATCTAAACAAGGAAATAGGGATATTATTTCATACTACAATGAAATGGTATCTCTGTGGCAAGAATTAGATCAATGCTATGATGATGAAGAGTGGGAGAGTGCTAAGGATCTGGCCAGACATAAGAAAAAAGAAGAGAATGATAGGGTCTATATGTTTCTAGCAGGGATCAATAGGGACCTAGATGAAGTTAAGGGGAGGATACTTGGAAAAAAACCTCTACCTTCTATCAGGGAGGTATTTTCTGAAATCAGGATGGAGGATAGCAGGAAGAAGGTCATGTACAACACCCCAGCACCTAATGAGGAACCTGGGGAATCTTCAGCTTTGGTGGCCAGAAGTGATGACAACAAGAAAAAACCTTGGTGTGATCACTGCAAGAAACTGTGGCACACAAGGGATACATGCTGGAAACTCCATGGAAAACCACCAGGAGCTGAGAAGAAGAAAGTAGAAAGGGCCCTACAAACTACTGTGACTGAGACTCAACAAGAGGCAGGAGTTGAACCTAAACAGCTACCATTCACTCAGGAACAGATAGAGTACCTACTCAGATTCATACCTACCCAGAAAATCTCCAATCCTGAAAACCCTACCTGTTCTTTTGCCCAGAATGGTAAAATAACATCATATTTTTGTTCTGAAAAAACTAAAAACACCTGGGTCATTGACTCAGGTGCAACAGACCACATGACCTATATTCCAAAGTTTTTTTCTTCTTATCAACCTTGTGCAGGAGATAAAAAAGTTAGAGTTGCAGATGGCTCTTTCTCAGCCATAGCAGGGATGGGAAATATTAAAATTTCCTCATCCATTAACCTTTCCAAAGTCTTACATGTTCCTAAACTTTCCTGCAATCTTATCTCTATTAGCAAAATTACTAAAGATCTTCAGTGTTGTGTAAAAATTTTTCCCTCTTATTGCATTTTTCAGGATCTGGCATCAGGGAAGATGATTGGCAGTGCTAGAGAGGAAGATGGCCTCTATACTTTTGATGAAGGAACACAATTGAATAAACAAGGTCAAGAAAAAACTTGTTTGCAAACTGTTTTTCCTTGTATTAATGAAGTGTACCTAATGCACTATAGATTAGGTCACCCAAGTTTTTCCTACTTGAAAATGTTGTTTCCTAAGTTATTTCTTAATAAAAATCCTTCATCATTTCATTGTGATATGTGTGCACTTGCCAAACATCATAGGAGTTCTTACATCCCTCATAGTTACAAACCAACTAGTCCTTTCACTATTGTACACAGTGATATCTGGGGTGCATCTAGAGTTTCAACTCTGAAAGGAAAAAGGTGGTTTGTAACTATCATAGATGATCACACAAGGGTCACATGGGTGTTTTTACTTAAAGAAAAATCTGAGATTGAAGAGGTGTTCAAACAATTTTACTCAATGATCCAAACTCAATTCAACACTAATATCAAAATTGTGAGAAGTGATAATGGACTTGAGTATTTTTCTAAGAAGTTAAATACTTTTTTTGCTGAAAAAGGGATTGTTCATCAAAGTTCCTGTGTAAATACTCCTGCTCAGAATGGAATAGCTGAGAGGAAAAATAGACATTTACTTGAAGTTACTCGTGCAATAATGTTTTCTGCCAAAATTCCAAAATATTTATGGGGAGAAGCTGTTTTACATGCTACCTATCTAATTAATAGGATGTCATCAAAAACTCTAGGATTCAAAACTCCTATTGATACTCTTCAAACTTGTTTTCCTGAAACTAGACTAATTAACTCTCTTCCCATAAAAATTTTTGGGTGCACAGTTTTTATTACCAATCCTGACAGAACTGCAAGTAAATTTGACCCTAAGGGAAAAAAATGTGTTTTCTTAGGACTCTCTTCAACTCAGAAAGGCTATAAATGTTTTGACCCTATAACAAAAAAGATGTTTATAACTATGAACACTGTTTTTGTAGAAGATCAACCTTTTTTTGGTACTCATCTTCAGGGGGAGATTCCTAATGAAGATGGTAATAATGTATCACATATCCTTGAAAAACTAGAACCTCTTGACATTAATCTAGATGCACTAGAAAATAGTCAAGAGTCAAAAGAAAATGAAAACTTTTTTCTGAAACAAGGAAAGATGATGAACAGCAGATAAGTAAGTTTTTTGGCAAGGTTTATGAAAGGAAAGTTCCAAATCACAGAATAGAGGACATCCCTGATCCTGCCACTGTCAATGAATCTGACTCAATGCCAGAAAATGACAAAGGTAATAATTTCAGTGATCTAAATCTACCCATTGCTCTCAGAAAAGAAAAAAGGTCATGTGTTAAATACCCTATCTCAAACTATCTGTCCTATTCTCAGTTATCTACATCATTTGCAGCTTTTACCTCTAGCCTTTCCAGTGTCTCTATTCCCTTAACCATACAGGAAGCCCTATCTATACCTGAGTGGAAGAAGGCTGTTTTAGAAGAAATGAATGCCCTTGAAAAGAATCAGACATGGCAGACTGTAGAGGTACCCAAAAATAAACCAAGGGTTGGATGCAAATGGGTGTTTACTCCTAAATTCAAGGCAGATGGTACACTTGAAAGATATAAGGCCAGACTGGTTGCCAAAGGATACACACAAACCTATGACATAGATTATACAGAAACTTTTGCACCAGTTGCAAAATTAAATACTATAAGGATTCTACTATCTCTAGCTTCTAACCTAGACTGGCCTCTTCAACAGTTAGATGTGAAGAATGCTTTCCTAAATGGGAAGCTTGAAGAGGAAGTATACATGAGCCCTCCTCCTGGGTTTGAGGAACAATATGGCTCAAAGGTGTGCAAGCTAGAGAAAGCCTTATATGGGCTTAAACAGTCCCCAAGGGCTTGGTTTGAAAGGTTTACTCAGTTCATAAAGAAGCAGGGATTCAAACAAGCCCAAGCAGATCATACACTATTCATGAAATTCTCCATTAAGGGAGAAATTGCAGTACTAATTGTTTATGTGGATGATATAATTCTTACAGGAAACTATTGTGAAGAGATTGAAGACCTGAAGAAGAAGCTTGCTCAGGAATTTGAAATCAAAGACCTGGGAGAATTGAAGTATTTTCTTGGCATGGAGATAGCCAGATCAAAGAAGGGAATTGTGGTATCCCAAAGGAAGTATGTACTAGACCTACTTCATGAAACAGGTATGAGTGCATGCAGACCAATAGATACTCCAATTGACCCTAATCAGAAGTTAGGAAATGTCAAGGAAAGAGTACCAGTTAATATTCACCAATATCAAAGATTGGTGGGAAGGTTGATTTATCTGGCACATACAAGGCCAGATATTGCCTTTGCAGTCAGTATGATTAGTCAGTTCATGCATAATCCATTCCAAAAACATCTAGATGCTACCTACAGGATCCTAAGATATTTGAAAAGTTGTCAGGGAAAGGATTATTTTTTAAAAGAAGTGACAATAGAAGTGTAGAAGCCTTTACAGATGCAGATTATGCTGGGTCAATAAATGATAGAAGGTCTACATCTGGATATTGTACTTATGTATGGGGGAATCTGGTGACTTGGAGAAGTAAGAAGCAGAATGTTGTTGCCAGAAGTAGTGCAGAATCTGAATTTAGATCTATGGCTAATGGAATCTGTGAGCTACTTTGGATCAAGAGAATGATGACAGAGTTGAATATGGAAATGAACCTACCTATGAAATTATATTGTGACAATAAAGCAGCCATTAATATTGCTCACAATCCTGTGCTACATGATCGTACTAAACACATTGAGGTGGACATGCATTTTATCAAAGAGAAGATTGAAGCTGGAATTGTATGCACACCATTCATATCTACTAAAGAGCAGACAGCTGATATCATTACAAAGGGGCTGTTTAAACCAGTGTTTGAGTTTCTTATAAGCAAGTTGGGAATGTATGATATATACTTACCAAGTTGAGGGGGAGTGTAGAAAAATGTAGCATATTCATGTTATTTTATTATGTGTACATCCGGGACTGTATAGATAGGAAGTAGAGTTGATTTAGGACTCTAACTCTTAGATTAACACGCAGTGTAGATAAGAATAGATAGATCCTAAATATTAGGATCTGTAACAAACCTTAGCTTATCTGTAATTTTGTATTTATATCATTGCCGGATGGCTCAATAATATATGGAAGATTAATTCTTCAAACCTACAGTATTACTAAAATACATTTCACTTAAAAAAGAGGCATTCTTTGACCTATTTAAAAACATTCTTCGAGTGTGTTATATATAATCAATTTAATTACCTAATACTAGTTACTTCACCCGTGCGTTGCATGGGAGTGAAGTACCTACATAATAGTTTAGATGCAATTCTATTGCAATAAAAAAATGGTCCAATTAATTGAAAACGTTAAATAAAAGAAAAAATAAAATGTCATTGTAATAGCAAACTAAGAAGTATATGGTACAAATCATCAGTAAAATATCATGTAATGAAATAGATGTGCTTGTAAATCCATGGAGTTGTCAAGGAAGCCGAAAAATTATTATAAATATCTTTGTATACAACATTCAAGTAATTAGGTAAGCAATGGCCATTAGTAAGAGTCATGTCACACATTACAAACTTCAACCTATATTGACATGTTATTCTCATGACTTTCACATACACATGTCCATGTATAAGAACCGGGTGATGGAGGAAAATGCCATTTTTTCCAACAATTGCCCCGACTCTTATTAATGACCATTGCATACCTAACTACTACGTAGTAAACTAGTAATTAAAACTATCTACGCTGAAAATTGAATCAGAGCCTAACATGTGGTGGTGTTAAAGTAAACATAGACTTTGTTGGGTTTTTCTAATATTTGACTTTGCCCCCATGGCCACGTACTATAGACAGCACTGGACTAAAAATCATACTCCGTATAAAATTCAAAATGTTTATGAAATTACTTTCATATATCTATCAATATGTAGAGATTAAAGTAGAAAAGCTTTATGAGCTTAAGTTAATAACCATCTTCAAGACATCTAACACAACTTCACATTTACAACTTGTCAACCAGAATATCATTGATCAAATATCGGCCTCAAAGGATGTTTTTACTTGGAGTGAAACTTTCTGGTCTAATTTGATCTAATCTGGTTTATTTAACTCCGATCTGATCTGATAAATGTCTAGTCTTTGTATATTTTACAATTATCAAAGTCTAGTCTGATCTGTTAAAGTCTAATCTAATCTTGTCTAGTCTATTTAAATCTGGTCCGATCTAATCTTGTCAGGTCTGAGACTAATAAATCCAAGTAAAAAACATCCTAACTCAAGACTATCAACTAAATCAAATTTAAAGAAAGACAGCAATGTGAAGTACTACACGAAATAGATTTATTTGTTGTATGTTATTTAAGAAAATAAGGGTAGATCATGTAAGCACTTTATCAAACATGAAATATGCAAAATACAGAGAGTACCTATACCATAACTATAAAACCTCCGAGTTTTATCAATTATTTAAGAAGCGATTGAGGATTTGTTTGCACCTATGTACTCAAAGAAGAAGACTATCAACGATATATTAGATTACCAAATTATAAATGTACGATTAGACCTCCTAAGAAGTGCAAAGTAGAGAACAGAAATAGAATAAACCCTGCTTGGTTCTATAAAAAAATGAGTTTGGTGGGAAATCAAATAAAAAATTTATTGAGGATGCAATAAAAGGAATCCCAGAGTAAAAGAGCAGAGGTCTAACGACATTCAAACCTGGAGGCCCTGGGTTGCTTGTTGAAAAGTAGGGCCCAGTGGCTTATTTCTGTGTGCAGAATTGGTGTCTGTGCTGTAATCATGACACACCGTATAATAAAAAGGAGGATCCAATCCAAGGGCTGCCAAAATTCATAGAAACCCTATTGTGTTTGGAGAAATCAAAAAAGGAATCTGAATCAGAAATTGGAGAACTGAAACAGAGAGGTGATGAAATTAATAGAATATTATAGGGACTCTAATGTAAATACTCATTTATTTATTAGTATATATATGATGCTAGGGCTCCCAAAGAGGGCAAGCCATTCTATTCCCACAATTATTCTTTCATATGGTCTCAGTAGACTAGGTTTTTCTCCCTAAAACCCTAGCATCCAATGTCGACCGGCCCTCCACCACCCACGGCGCCCAACACTATGGTGCAGCCGCAGTCTACCGGTCTTCCGCCGCACACCACCAGCGCGATGACATCTCAGGCGCCCGCATACAGCATGGAGCAGCCTTCCTCCGGCGTTACTCTCTCGCCGCATCCAAGAGACGCCTACTGCCCCTACGCCGGCTCTCCCGCCGATCGCGCCATCACCACATGGACCAGCACCCCTGGCTGCAGCACGGTTCTATGGCCCTACCTTCACAGGCCAGCCGGGCATATTCCCGCTGGACATACCCTCATCCTCTCATTCTTCTGGTTCCACCACGGTAACATCATCTCAATTGTCTTCTTTAGCTTCTCAATTACAATTCTCAACCTCAAATGTTACCAATATTGTTACCACAAGATTAGATAAAGTGGAGGATTATTTACCTTGGCGCACACAATTTGAATCATTTTTAGTGTCGCATGGTTTATTGGGTATGGTTGATGGTTCTATTGCTGCCCCGTTAACATCTCATCCTGAATATCATTCATGGCTTAAAATTGACCAAACTGTTAGATCATTGGTTGTTTGCTACTCTCTCCCGCAATATTTTAATCGAGGTTCATTCTTTGCGATTTTCTCATTTAATTTGGGAACGACTTGAAACTCGGTTTATGGCTGCCAGTATTGCTAGAAGTACGGAGCTTAAGCGTCTTTTATCCTCGTTAAAGAAAAAGGACGATCAGTCCATGGATGATTATTTGAGAGAAATCATTGTTTTGACGGATGCCTTGAATGCCATAAATTGCCCTGTTAGTAATCGTGAACTACTTCAGTCCACCATTCAAGGCCTTGGACCGGAGTATGAATCGGTTATTACATCTATCACTTTGTTCCCGGACTGTTTTACCATTGACTCACTTCGTCCGCAACTGATGGCATTAGAACAAAGAGTTCTATATCTCCGTTCGCAGGCATCTGTCCCAAGCCATCAGGCTTTTGCAGCATATGAAGCTGCTGCTGCACGACCCCGGGGCAGAGGGGGTGTCCAAGCTCCTGGTAATGGGGGCCGTGGCTATCGCGGTGGCGGTAGAGCTCGTGGACATCGGGGACGCGGCCGTGGTTACGGTGGTCAGCAGCACGTCCCACAGCAGCAACAGCAGGGGGCTCCATTCTTCGCCCAACCCCCTGGACCGAATGGATGGCAGCAGCAGGGAGGTGCTCCAGCAGGTTTTCAGTTCCCAGTGCGAGGCCATGCTCCGGCTGGATTCCCAGGTACGGCGTACAGTAATATTAGTGATAGTTTCTCTTGTATTCAGAATTTATCATATTATGGTACTCACCCATTTTTTACAGGATTCCCATCTAATGAGAATAATTATCAGTCCCCTCCTCCACCCGTAGTTTGTCATATTTGTTTTTCGTCAGGTCACTCCGCTTTAGCTTGCTCTCGCTTTGCTCATACCACCCCAGCATTGGCGGCTATACCTACGGGTGAAACCAATGCTTCTGTGTGGTATCCCGACTCTGGGGCCTCAGCTCACATGACTCCGCACGAAGGTATTTTATCTTGTAAATCTAGGTACACCGGACCGTTTTCTATTCAAGTTGCTAATGGTACTAATCTTGTTGTTTCTAATATTGGTAATGTGAGTTTATCCACTGCCAGTCGCCCCTTATTATTAAAATCAGTCTATCATGTTCCGCACATTAAATATAATTATTATCAATTCAGCGTTTATGTGCGGATAATGATTGATCTGTTATTTTTAATAAAAATTCTTTTTTTGTTAAGGACAATCAAACGGGAGCCACACTTCTCCAAGCCTCCAATAAGGACTCCATCTATCCTTTTAGAGCAGATCACCAGCCACCACCAACTTTTGCATTAAAGACTTCACTTGTTCCTGGCCCAGTCTCGCACAAACGTCTTGATCATTGTGGGGATCGTGTTTTACTATCTCTTAGGAAAAATAATTTAATTACCAGTATTAGTATTTTTTCTCATGATTGTGTTTCCTGTAAACTGGGCAAGTCCCATCGTCTTCCTTTTCAAGATGCTACTCATAATTTTACTGCTCCTCTTCAGTTAATTCATTCTGATGTTTGGCAATCCTCTGTGCTATCCAACTTAGGTTTTAAATACTATGTTTCCTTTATAGATGATTTTTCTCGTTATACTTGAGTTTATCCCATGCGCCGAAAATCTGAAGTTTTTAGTCATTTTTGCAATTTTCAAACTCTTGTTGAAAATTTATTTGAGCGCAAAATTAAGTGTTTTCAGAGTGATGGAGGTGGTGAATTCGTTAATTCCTCTTTTCACAATCATTTTCTCAAATGTGGAATTCTTTTTCGAAAATCTTGCCCGGATACTCCCACGCAAAATGGAGTAGCTGAACGTAAACAAGACACTTATTAGAACTCTCTCGTACTATGCTTATTGATGCTAATCTTCCATCTCAATTTTGGGTAGATGCACTTTATACTGCTGTGTTAATAATTAATCGTTTGCCTACTCCTACTTTGTGCGGCCAGTCTCCGTTTGAGATACTTTTTCACAAAAGTCTTGATTATCAATTTTTACGTGTTTTTGGTTGTGCATGCTTTCCAAATATTATTGCTAGTTCTTCAAATAAACTGTCCCCACGGTCCATTCCTTGTGTCTTTCTAGGTTACGCTCCGGGATATAAAGGCTACCGTTGCCTTGATCCCGGCACAGGTCGAGTCTATGTCAGGCGAGATGTCGTTTTCCACGAAACTACCTTTCCCTACCCAACACTTCTAAAAACCTCTACCCCACCATCTCGACCACTTGTCCTTTCCCCATGGACCCTTCCCCGTCTGCCTCCCTCCACAAACATGCCCAACCTCACCAGCCGCCACTCTCCCTCGCCTCATGTGATCTCACAAAATGCAACACCATCCACTCCTTCCTATTCTTCTATGCCAACCTCACCAGGTTCGGTAATGGAGTTGTCGACCCCTACCTCTCCATCATCCCCAGCAGATAACATCACCACACTCCGTAACCCTACTCCCCCACCTTCTCCCATTTCCCCCAGCCGCATCCTCTCCCCTACACCATCTCCATCTCCGCCGCCCGTTTCCACTTCAGTGGCTCCCAATGTGCAATTTATGCAAACACGAGCTAAAGATGGTATTTTTAAACCCAAACATATTTTTAATTTAAATGTTTTGGCTGTTCCTAATGTCCCTACTTGTTTTTCACAGGCCAATAAAAATATAATTTGGCGGGCTGCTATGGCAGAAGAATTTAATGCTCTCATTGCTAATAAAACATGGGATCTAGTACCTTGTGACAAGAGCAAAAATATTGTTGGGTGTAAATGGATTTACAAGACTAAATATCGTTCCGATGGTTCTATCGAGCGGCACAAGGCTAGGTTAGTAGCTCAAGGTTTTAACCAACAAGTTGGGGTAGATTTTTCTGAAACATTTAGTCCAGTGGTCAAACCCACTACTGTTCGTCTGGTGTTGTCTGTTGCTATCTCCTTGGGTTGGTCAGTTCGTCAGCTAGATGTCAAAAATGCCTTCCTCCATGGACATCTATATGCGTCAGCCGCCAGGTTTTGTTCACCCATCTTTTCCCTCTCATATATGTCGGCTGCGCAAAGCACTATACGGACTTAAGCAAGCTCCTCGTGCCTGGTTCCATAGATTTAGTTGATTCTTTCTTTCTCATGGCTTTTGCCAAAGTCAGTCTGACTCTTCCATGTTTACTTATCGTTACCAGTCCCACACTATCTATATACTGTTATATGTGGATGACATTCTTATCACTGGTAGCTCCTCCTCTTTGGTTCGTCATTTTATTCATATTTTATCCAGTCAGTTTGCTATGAAAGATTTGGGGGACATGCATTATTTTCTTGGTATTCAGGCTCGTCGTACTCCCAAAGACATGTTTCTCTCTCAACAAAAATATACTACTGATCTTTTGCAGCGTTTTCATCTTCATACGGTAAAACCCGTCCGTACACCTCTCCCATCACGCACTACGCTATCTTTTACAGATGGGGATCTTTTAAGCGATGGTACTGAGTACCGCAGTATGGTAGGTGCCTTACAATACTTGACTATTACTCGTCCTGATATTACTTATGTCGTACATTTGGTTTCTCAGTTTATGCATGCACCTCGTACTACTCATCTTGCTGCTGTTAAAAGAATGTACAGGTACTTGCAGGGCACTACCACTCACGGCTTATGGCTTTGATCCGGACAGAGTATTTCAGTCATTGTTGAATATTCTGATGTCGATTGGGCAGGATGTCCGGATAGTTGTAGATCCACCACTGGGTATGCTATTTTCATTGGTGGGAATCTTATTTCTTGGAGATCAAAGAAACAACCCACGGTATCCAAATCTTCCACAGAAGCGGAATATCGTGTTGTTGCATACACTGTGCAGGACACTCTCTTCATTCGCTCGCTACTTGCGGACATGGGCATTTACATCTCTAGACCTGTTCAGTTGTTTTGTGATAATGTGTCTGCCTCCTATCTTGCAGTTAATCCGATCCATCATGACCGCACCAAACACATCAAAATAGACTATCATTTTGTTCGTGAACGTGTTGCACATGGAGATTTGGCCGTTAAATACATTCTTACTCAATATCAGTTGGCCGATATTTTTACCAAAAATTTAAGTAGTCAGCGTTTTGAGTTTTTACGTTCCAATCTGCACGTGGTTTCCCCTGCACAGATTGAGGGGTGTAATAGAATATTATAGGGACTCTTATGTAAATACTCATTTATTTATTAGTATATATATGATGCTAGGGCTCCCAAAGAGGGCGAACCATTCTATTCCCACAATTATTCTTTCATAGAAATTACCATGAATGCTACTGTGAAATGAACATACCGAAGTAAAACAGAGAGAGGTGAGAAATCGAATCAGCTGCAATGAAGCTATTGTGCAAACGAAGTGGAACGGAAATTGAAAAAAATAAATTACCTCTAAAAGGTGGCCAAATTGAGGTAGGGGTGAAATGTCCGTATGAGTATTAACATCCGCATTCTCTTCTACAATGTTTACATTATTATTCTCACCCTCTTCTCAATATTTATAGATAATACAAAGTAACAAAAATCACAAATAGATCAATTAATATTAACTAATCGGCTAGCAGAAAACAATTGACAATATTGATGATTAAAAGTTAAAACTTAAAACTACTACAGGTTTTATTTATTTAATTATCAAAAAAGAGTTGACCTTTACTGCTTTACAACTATACCTTTATTGCCGATATTGATTCAATCAATATACTTTGTATACAACTATCTTTATTCAATTATTAAGTGCAGTAGTGCCGTAGGTATAGTAATTGAATATTCATTCAGTTATTCTTAGCCACAGAGCCACAGTGTCGGTTAACCTTGACTCGATAACTCCTTTAGGAATTTAACCCTTTACTGCCTTACAAGCTTCTCACTTTACTCAATTTATCAATTACTCATTTAGGAGTGAAATTAGAGTCCATAGATATAGAGAAATCACAGATTTAGACAGAAACACTCACGGAGGTCGGACTGTTGTAGTCACAGTAGGCAGACCGCAGGCGGCGAGACAGCAGTCACCACTCACCAGTCGGCCAGTCGGGCACTCAGCGAGTCAGCAGCGGACGGTCTTCGACTGTTCGGCAATGGCAGTTCGGCAGTCGCTACTTGCTCAATTAATCGGCAATCGTTGGACGCAGTTCGCATAAGCCATAACTAAACATGGCACAGGGTTCGCGGTTCGCAGTTCGCATAAGCCATAACTAAACATGGCACAGGGTTCGCGGTTCGCAGTTCGCATAAGCCATAACTAAACATGGCACGGGGTTCGCGGTTCGCAGTTCGCATAAGCCATAACTCCCGCAGGTTCTTAGATTAAAGGGGGTGTCCCCAACATGGATTTTAAATGATTTTAAAGGATTGTAGATTCTATGGATTTTAATGGAATTCTACAGATTCAATGAGATTCATATAGAATTCTATGGAATTCTATGGAATTCTATTTGATGGAATCATATGGATTTCATAGAAACTCCTTAGACACCTGGAACACACAAGTCGGTCATCTTCTCAATTTTGCAACACTCAACTTTAATTATTCGTGGGAGCCTTTCGCCACCCAGAACACCGCCTTTTACGAGTATTACAAGGTCTGCAGTGGTTATGGTGTTAACACCTTACTTTTTTGCTTATTTAATTTTGCGTTTGTGTGGTAAAGTTGAAATATGTTGTGATGCGGTTTTGAATGATAGGAACAAGGGATAGTTTCTGTGGAAGAGTGGAACACATGATGGCGGAAAAACTGGCGCATGAAGAATAACAGACCCAAACTTAACAACAATCCATAGAATAACAACAGTCCATAGAAGAACTGAGAAAAAGTAAAAAAAAAAAGGAGGAGACAAACCTGGAGAAGAAGAACGGTCTTTGCTGCGGATGAAGAATGGGGAGGAAAGTGGCTCTCCGCTGCGGAAGAACGTGATAGATAAGTACCGGGTACGTCGGGTTGGTAGGGTGGATTTCAAATCCGAGGGGTGAGACAAAGAGAATGGGTGGAATTGGATTAGTGTTATTTTTCATACCAATTCCATTAAAATCAGTTGAAATCCAAGAGAAACAAATCCATGAAGTAATTGAGGACACCCCGATTTTAAAGGAGTTTTGAAAATCCAGGTTGAGGACACCCGGATTTTGATGGAATTCTAAATTCCTTTAAAATCCGTAAGAATCCATATCGGGGACACCCCCTTAAATGTTCATTCAAACTATTTACTCCCTCCCTCCCTAAATGTTCTTCCAAATTAAAGTGGCACGGTGATTAAGAAAGTGAGAATTGTGTGGTGGAGAGTTGTGCAAAGGAGAGAGAAATGGTGTAAATCACAAATTCTTTGCTAAAAAGGGAAAGTGAAGTTCTTTTTGGGACGGACGAAAAGGGAAAGTTTGAAGTGAATTTAGGGACGGATGGAGTACATTTCATATAAATGTGGGAGTAGGGTGCTAAGCCTACACCACTCCCACGGTATAATAACTGTGTTTACTGAGATATTTTTCAGTTTTTCAGAAAACTGTAAAACTGGTAAAAAGAAAATAGAAAACGTTTTTTTAAAGTGTTGGAAAACTGGATAAAGGAAAACAGAGTTGTGTTGACCAAATCGTTTTTCAAAACCAGGAAACTGAGATATGTCTCTGTTCTCATTGTTGAATTGGAGAAATGACTTTTACTTGTTTTCTAAATTTGGAAAACGTGGATGTTGCAGTGTCGCTTCAATGAATTTGCATACTACGCCTAGTGTTGGATTTGGTTCCGGTCTCGTGTCAATTTCAGTTTGGTCTGCTCAACGACCCTGCGGTCTCTATCTGGTCCAGTAAACGACCAGACGGTCTGGTCCGATCATTGTCCCGACGATCCATGTCCGACCCGGTCAACGCCGAGCAATCCCGGTCCACGACCCGGTGGCCCCTGTTTGGTCTGGTCCATGACCCGATGGTCACTATCTGATCCGGTTGATTACCCGATTGTTTCTTTCATGTCTGGTCAACCACTCGGCGGTCCCCGTCATGTCCGATCAACGATCAGGCAGTCCCCATCCTGTCTAGCAACTGACTCGATGGTTTGTATTCAATCTGATCGATAATCGTGCGGTTCCAGACCAACCCTGTAAACGACACGATGGTCCATGTTCGGCCAGTCACTAACCTGATGGTTCAATCTCGGGTTTTCAAAATCATTTTTTAAAGTGAATAGTTTTAAACGAGTCGTTGAGTTGTCAACCAATAGGAAAATGAGAAAGGAATTCATCAAACTAATTGTTGAGATCGATCGAGACTGACCGGTTTCGGTCCCAACTTTCCTATATGTGGGACCCAGTACCCTACTTGGGTTGTGCTAGGTTTGGTTTCGGAATGGGACCGTACTTTCGATCTTGTGGTCGGTCATAGAACCAGGTGAAAAAATTGTATGTTTTGCATATGTGAAAATTGAAACCTAAAAAATGAAAACGAAAAATTGAGGGCATGTTTACTAACAGAGATATTTTTCTGTTTTTTCAGAACACTTGAAAACTGGAAAAAGAAAAACAGAAAACGTGTTTACTAAAGAAAATTGTTTACACTTAAATGCAGACCGCCACTGCTGGTCGTCGAAATTTTCACTTAGATCGCCGCTACCGATTTGCCCGTCCGCCTCCATCACCAGAGTTCCCCGATGTCGTCATCGGATTGATCAGCCGCCAACAAAATTGATTTGGTTATGTAAGAAAAATAAGAACGATTAATTGTATTAATTATTTAATTAAATCAGGGGTGAATATGTAATATTTGGTCATATTTAAGGAAAATCAAACATATAATCATACTTTAAGAAAAATATTGTGTTTTAGTCATATCCTGAGTAATTTCCTCTGTATAATGCGGGGTATGATAAGAAACAAACAAACAAACAAACAAACAAACAAAGAGATATTACCCAAAATAGGACTAAAACAGTTTGAAAATTTCAAAATAGGACGGCCATGTTTGTATTCCCAAAATAGGACTAATTAATGTCATGTTTTGGCAGTACAAGACTTCAAACATGGCAGTGTTTTACCAAACAAGAGGTGGCCACACTACTCAAAATCAAGCACATTAGGCCGGTAATCCACGTGGAGTGGTTGTCTAATGTAGTCCTTGCCTCGAAGGGGGGCAACTTGGAGGATGTGCGTTGGCTACTCCGATCTAAACAAGGCATGCCCTATGGATCCTTATCTTGTGCCTCAGATCGATTTGCTGGTAGATGAGACCGCCGGGTGTGAACTATTGAGCTTTATGGATGCCTTCCGAGGGTATCACCAGATCTTATGCACCCGGCTGATGCAGAGAAAACAGCGTTCGTCACCTCGGACGGGGTATTTTGCTACATTGTCATTGCTGTTCGGGTTGAAGAATGTTATGGCCACATTCCAGAGAATGATCGGGATGTTGTTCAAAGAAGTGTTGGGGTCACCATGGAAGCTTATGTGGATAACATCTTGATCAAAAGCAGGAGGAAGGAGGATCATGTTCGGGATATTGAAAAAGTCTTCGGAATCACGAGGAAGGCGAACATGAGACTGAATCCCAAAAGTGTGCCTTTGCCATTACGGGGGGGGCAAATTCTTGGGATATATGATGAGCGAATGGGATAATTGCAAATTCTTGCAATTACGGGGGGCAAAACCATTTTGGTCATGATAGTTGCTATCAAATGACTGACACCATATTTTCAGGTCCATCCGGTAATTGTTGTTACTACTCAACCGCTTGCCACCATCCTGAGGAACCCGATGGCCAGTGGACGCATAACCAAGTGGTCACTCCTAATCGGGCAATATGAAGTAGACTTCAGGCCGCGACCTACCATTAAAGGTCAGGCCTTAGCAGATTTCATAGCAGAATGTACCGCTCGGCCATGGAGGATGAATCGAACAAAAATGTCCTGGATAATTGGTGGGAGATGTGTGTGGATGGTGCCTCACGTGCGAAGGGTTGTGGTGGCGGAGCCGTGATCACATCACCTGAGGGGTTCAAGGTATACTATTCCATTCATTTTGATTTTAAGGTAACTAACAATGAGGCCAAGTATGAGGCCCTTATTGCAGGTTTAAAGTATGCCAAAGTCCTGGGTGTCGATCGGCTAAAAGTTCGATCGGATAGCCAGCTGGTTGTTGGCCAGGTGAATGGGACTGCCGAAGCAAAGGAGGAAAGAATGAAAGCCTACAAGGAACTGATCGAGGAACAAATCGAAAAATTTGAACAAGTAGTCCTCGATCAGGTTTCCCGGATAGAAAATGCTCAGACATATGTTCTATCAAAACTCGAGAATGCCGCACTGGACGATCGGGCTCAGCTCATCCTTGCACACATCCAACAATTTGCCCACCGGGAGACGCTTCCTACACCGGCTGCAAAGGTCCTTCGGGTGGAGGCTATATCCTATGCCGTTCTTAGTTGGGTCATGGACATGACCAACTACATGAAGGATGGATCCCTCCCAGCAGACAAGAACTTGGCATACAATGCCAAAATGCATCCAGAAGAGGGTCCCCATGTTCGAGTTGGTAGATGGACAATTGTACAAAAAGAATTTCGGGGGACCATACCTAAAGTGTCGCTCGCCCGGTCTTGCGGCTGCGGTAATGGAAGAAATTCACCACGGAATCTATTCGAGCCATCAAGGTCCGAAAACTCTTGCAAGAAAAATCATCTTGCAATGGTATTACTGGCCAACCATTCAGCATGACTGTTTCGAGCATACAAAGAAGTGTAAAACCTGCCAGCAATACGCCCCAGTGCCCGAACGACCAGCAAGTTTCTATACACCAATGACTACAGCATGTTGTTCGCTAGGTGGGGGGTCGACTTGCTATGGCCCCTACATACAGCATCGGCGGGGAAGAAGTACATCATTGTGAGGATTGACTACTTCACCAAATGGGTGGAGGTCGAACCTTTGGCCAGCATCACGGATTTCCAATGCCGGAAGTTTGTCTGGCAGAACATCATTTGCCGGTTCGGCCTCCCGGAGCAAATCATCACCAACAATGGCAGGCAGTTCGTGAACAAGAGCTTTGAGCAGTACCTGACCAAGTGGAGCATCAAACACTATAGGGCATCAGTGGCCTACCCCCAGACGAATGTCCAGGTCGAGAATATGAATAGAACAATCATGGACGGGATGAAAAAGAAACTCGAAGTATACTCCTCGTCATGGCGTGATCAACTAAACTACATATTATGGACTTACCAAATGACCCCTAGGACAGCTACTGGGTGTTGAAGATAATTTTATTATGAATCAAGTTTGTCAGTTTTGTCTGTAATAGTCTAGTTTACTATTTCCGTTTTGCACTGATATGCTGTATCTCATAGAATAGTATTTAATATGGGCCAAGTGTTAGGCCCATACAAAAGGCTAAAAGCCTTATACGCATACCTGAGCCTCGCCTATAAAAGGGAGCCGATGACTCGGGTCTGCGTTAACTTTCGTACTCGTTCCAAATAGCCTTAGCGCAAATTCTTCTCTATACGAGTTCACGGTATATCGAGGAAGGTTATCATCGATCTATCTGTGTTCATCTTTACTGTTAATCTTCTATTTGTTATACTATTATTCTTTGCTGTAATAGAAAACAGGGACTAACAAATGGTATCAGAGCTGATCGAGAGCTGATCAGAAGAACGTCTGCAGAAAAACTCTGTTTTTCTTTACGCTTTTGTTTCTGTCGAGTTCTTACTCTGTAATCTTGTTTCTTGTCAAAAAGTTGTAAAAGTTATACCTTTAGAATCGTCGTTTCGAAGCGATCAAGGTGTATACTTCAGATTTGTATTTTTGTAAATTCTGTACTCGAGATATCTCGAGATCTAGATGTCGACATCTCTATTTTGAACAGGTTCTGCCTAGATTTTCAAGCTGAAAACTTCACCTAAGGATCTCGACATCATACTCTACCAGAAACTACCCTCAGATTTTGCTTACCTGAGTTTTTCACTTTGCAGGATTTCGACATCCAAATCTCGAGATCGAGGTTTCGATTTTTAAGGTCTCGACTTCTGGTCCTCGACATTTGATATCTCGAAAACATATCTCGAGTTACATTTCTCGACATCTCAAATCTCGAGATTTGCTTCTCGACATTTGAAATCTAGAGATTTCAAAACTCGACATCTATATCTCGATATCAAATCTCGATACCGGGCCTCCTTTATCGAAATCTTGGATCTCGATATTCAGATCTCGACATCTGAATTTCGATATTCTGCCTTTGAAAATTTTTTGATCAAATATCTCGAACGGTCAGTTTTCTACAGCAATGACTTCTGAATACAATGCCCAAGGGAACAGCAGTACTCCTCCTAGTCTAAGGAAAGGAGAATATCAGATGTGGAGGAATCGATTCCTAAATTTCCTCGAACACAAAGAAAATTCCATTGCAATGCTTGAATCACTGCTTGAAGGACCAGCTGAACTGATGATTTCAGCTGGAGGAGATCCAGAAAACAACCCACCTATCCCTCCAGAAAGGAGACGAAAAGTGGCATCTGAATACACCGAAACTGACAAGCTCAGACTTAGAGGTGATCTCATGGCCAAGACGTACCTCCTTCAAGCCATTCCAAACGAAGTATATGTGCTCATCGACAGCATGCAAACCGCAAAGGAGATGTGGGATGAGATTGAGAAACTGCTCCAAGGCACAAGCGTCAGCCTGAAAACCAAGAAAACAACCATCCTTATTGCCTGTGACTCCTTCAAAGCTGCCCCGGGAGAACCATTGAACGAGACATACAACAGACTCGTCCAACTGGTCAATGAACTAAGGAAAATCAAAGTATTCAGGACCAACTTGGAACTGAATATAAGATTTCTATCCAGCTTACATCCTGCATTGGAAAAGACAGTAAAGGATGTCAGATCACACATTGACTTGGATGAAATTGATCTCTGCACTCTATATGAACACCTAAAGCAATTTGTTAATGAGGTTGCTTGTGCCGAGGATCAACACAACACAAATCCCCTGGCTCTAGTGATGGAAGCTCAGCCCCGAAGGACAACCACACCGCTGAAAAAGAAGAAGAAGAAGGTGGTGGTTGAATCAGATGAAGATGAGAGTGATGATGACAAATCTGACCTGGAGGCTGAACTTGCAGACCTACAGAAGAAAATGGCACTGCTAGCCAAGAGGTTTGCTAAGAAGAACAGCTCCTCCAACAAGTTGAGAACCTCATCCTCAAACTACAAACAGAAGAACCATGATCAAGGATCTTTTAGGAAGGCACCAGCAGCTGAAGATGCTCCCAAATGCTACAACTGTGGAAAGGCTGGACATGTCATCAAAGACTGTCGCCTGCCAAAGAAGAGGGATGCAAACTTCTACAAGCAGAAGATGCTGTGGAATAAGCAAAAGATGCTGATGGTGCAGAAAGAAGAAGAAAATTCTACAGTGCTTGCTGAAAATGATCATTGGGCAGAAGACACTTCTGATGAGGAGGAGGAGGAAGAAAACTATGCCTTGATGGCTCGAGTGGATGAAGAAGATGAAAGAAATGGTGATGTTGCGATCCCCGGAAGTGAATGCTCTACAAGCTCTGTAAGTACCTCTTATCTCCCTTGCAATAATCAAAATCATTCCTTACTTGATAAGGACAATCTTATTAAAGAACTAAAGGAGAGACTAGACAATAATCACAGGGTACTGAAACAGAATCTAGACCAAAAGTCTTTTCTAAGTGTTCAACTTGAAATTGCGAAAGAACAGGTCAAAAAGGTGTCCTCAGATTTTGAAAGTTTTGAACTTAAGATAGCTGAATTGACTAAGAAATTTGAGGATAGTGAACGAGAAAAAAGCACAGCAAAGGCTGAATGCGAATTTTTGCAAAATAAAAGAAGAACACTTGAGGATGCGGTGATACATGATAAATGGGGGACTTGTAAAAAGCGTGTGTGGGTGTGATCTGTAAATAGTGTGTGTGTGTGTTGCATGTGTCAAGGGGGAGAAAAACCAAAAAGAACAAAAAATAGTGTGTGTGTTGCATGTGTCAAGGGGGAGAAAACCCAAAAAGAACAAAAATAGTGTGCGTGTGTTGCATCTGTACATAGTGTTTGTTGCATTCTTTTGGGGGGAGAAAAGGGACAAATTTTTCACTGTTTGAGGGGGAGCTCTAATTTTTACTGATATTGGGTCTCAAAAATCTTTTTAAATAGGCACTTTGTGCTAGCCCATACATTCGGGCTCAACTGTTACGGAAAAGGCCCAAACTTCTCGCGAAACCCTTCATCCTCCCATTCTCAAAGTATTTCGCAAACCAGAGGCCTCGGAATACATTTCGAAACCAGAGCTCCCTCAGTTTTCTTTCGTCTTCTTCCCGAAATATCTCCATCTCCCGATTCTCACTACGATTCTCACTACGAAGGTAGTTAAGCGGAACAACTCTTCTTTCCGTCGACTCTTCTCCCTCGCCACCCGCTTTGTATTCGATCAAAAACCTTTTTTTCGAAAATCGTTCGCAAAAAATCAAACAAAAAGGGGTTCTTCGTTTAATTTGAAGGTCGAAATCTATCAATGTTTAGTTTTTGCATTTCTGTTGTAATGATTTTGCAGGTGGGTTCGTCGTTTCGAGTTCCATGATCTCGAGCTTTGGTTCTCCAGATCTCGATATCGTCGGTTCGTCTTCGAGAAGAGATCTCGAGATGTAGCTCTCGACATCTGGATGTCGAGCTGTAAAACTCAAAATCTCGATCTCGAGATCTACATCTCGATATCTTGATCTCGAGATCTACATCTCGATATCTTGATCTCGATATCTTGATCTCGAGATTTGAATCTCGATATCTCGAATCTCGAGATTTGAATCTCGAGATCTCGAATCTCGAGATCTCGAATCTCGAGATCTCGAATCTCGAGATCTCGAATCTCGAGATTTTGACTTAGCATTTTTTCAAAAAGCCCACCTGCACCCATTGTCTGAAACTTGCAAACACCAAAATTTTCACAATCTAATCCCAAAGCAAACAAACAACGGATTAATATGCTGACCCCCTGCTTTTACAGTTCATTATGGCAGGCACACAAAAGAGACATAACATTGACGACGCCATCTATCCACAGGATAGGTGGATCAAGGTGCTGGACAACAACTTCCAGCTGGACCTGACTGTTTTCAAATGTCAGGATCCGGTCATCCCCGGGATCCTGAAGCGCCAATATCTCTGGACCGCCCTCCACAAATCTAAGCCGGTGCCAGAAATCTACCTCCAACAACTATGGGAACATATGCGCACCGAGTCAACAAAAGACCGATCCAAAATCCTCACAAAGCTCAACAACATGAGGATAGTCCCGACTCCAGCAACTCTACGTTCTACACTGGCGCTCCCGGTACATGACAACTACGATCCTCTACCACCTATTCCGGACCTTCTCAAAGATGTCGTGGCTCTCGGTCATGCCTCTCTACTCCCGAAACTGTCAAACTTCAATGGAGCCTACCTACATCGTCCTTGGAAGAGCCTGTTCGGGCTAGTCAACAAGTGCCTATCACCAAAGCATGCCGGGCTTGACAAATGCAACAAGCAGATCATCTGCGTCTTCCACGGTATTGCATACAACAAGAACTACGACATGACTCAGCTCTTTTTCTCAAAGCTCATTGACCTGGTAAAAGCAAAGGAGAAAAACAAGTCAGGCACCATCCCATACGCCAGGTGGATGGGGATGATTATCCATGACTGCATGGCAGAGAACACCTCCATTCCTAGACGCAGTGATGATCCACACTTCACAGCCCCAAAACTCTAATATTTCAAAGCTGATAAGAAAGCGGCTCAGGGATTGCGGATTCCAGACGCTCTGCTCAATCTGGCAAATCCGTCCAATCCAACTATTGTGAAATACAAGGAAAACCTTGAGAGAACAGTCCCTATGGTTCAGCAAAACCCAGCTGGACCTACTTCGGGGACTAAGCTGAGTGTAAGTAAGGGTCCCAAGAGAGCCCCAAAGCCACAGAAGCAAGTGGCACATCGGCCCGATGAAGGAGATTCCGATGAATCTTTTGAGAGGACTCGGACGACTGAGGCAAACCGATGAACGCTGAGGAACCAGCTGATGACTCGCTCAGCCCGACCCACAAAGAGGCTGACGATGAGGCTTCCGATAGCGTGGCCAGAAGTGACGATGACGATGATGATGACGACGATGACATCGACGATGTTGAGCACACCTTTGCTCTCATAAAAAAGGGTAAGCTGCCTATTGAATCTCCTCTAAA